CCAGACCGGATCAAAATGCTCATGAGCCTCCTTGCCCTTCTTCAGATAGGGTCTCAGATCGTGGATAGTGCCATCAACAAAACTGGTCTGGACAACGAAGATTGACAGATCTCCTTGCCTGAAACCAATGGCACTAGCATACTGATAACGGAATGCCTCTTTGCGTGAAAATTGATTGAGGTTGGTCAGCACTAACTCGCTAACTCGAAAGGATTCGGCTGTACTCATGGGTAGATTAGCCGGTGCAGATTGACTAAATGATCACTGAGAAATAATCAATGAGGACTGATGACTGATGACTGATTGCCGATTAAATGATTGCTGATAACTGATTGTCGATGTTTGATTGCCGATGACTGATTGTTGATGACTTATTGCAGCTTCTTAATGTTGATTATGAGACTGAATAATTGCAGACAGAAAACTTAGCAGCTTCTGTTCAGAAAACTGTGACTGTTGTTATAGAAATTGATTGCTTGCTGCTCCGGAAACTGATTGCTAGCTATTCTGGACACTGATTGCTTGCTAATGAATGCCTGTTGCCGTTTGAGTTGGCTGTTTGCTGATTAAACACAGATTGAGTAGTGACTGAGTGCCATTCTAAGTACTGTTCTGAATGCAGTCCCAAGTACCGTCCTGAGACTCGCCCTGAGCACAGTTCCGAGTACAGTTCTGAGCATTGTCCCGTGTAAAGTTCCGAATGCATTTCGGAACAAAGTTCTGGGTACTGTTCCGAGTATCATCCGAACATTGGAAACGGTTCTGAACACAGTATTGAGTACCGAGTCTGAGTTCTAATCTGAATACCGTTCAGAGCACTGAGTCTGAGTTCCGATCTGAATACCGTTCAGAGCACTGAGTCCGAGTTCCAATCTGTATACCGTTCAAAGCACTGAGTCTGAGTTCCGATCTGAATACCATTTAGAGCATCGAGTCTGAGTTTCAGTAATCCGAGTGCCTTTTTCGAACACTGTCTGATTGTTTTCTTTTTACTGTTCAACCTTTGTCCTTGCCTGCTCGACCGTTTCTAACCATGAGCAGGTGTTGTGCGGTTTCCCATCCAACCCACAAAAATAGATAGTATACTCAATAACACTCCGCCCTCTCGCTAAACCCAATGCATGTTCTCTCATCATCTCGATTTAGGATTGTGAGACTCCGGTAACACCCTCTTCCCAGACTTCTGTTTTGCTTCGATGTAGCGAATAGGTAACTCTCAAAGTGCCACCCTCAGTCTCTCTGTTGGGACTCATTACATCAGCCCTCGAAAACAAGAAAGAAGTTCGCTTCCATTTTGCCGACAGCCAGTGGGGTTAACGAGGTATTTTTCATTTGTGACTAGAGCACTTAACATATATGGCCGGGAGGGGCGACTGACAACCGGTCTGATTCACATAGTGTTCCGATACAGGATACCTTTCATGGGCCCTTAATGATCTGATCAGCCAATCCTCCCTTTTGTCGGGCTAGATAGAACAGGAGGAATCGGGATGTAACGACAACACTCCATTAATTTACGCGGTCTGCGATAGTTGAGCACTTTTCATGGAGTTTGATTTGCTCTTAATCTTGCCTGGAATATGTTTATATTGGTCTGGTCCCGTTAGCTCAAGACCGTATCTATCGGCTGACGTCCTGATTATTTTGTCTGCGCTGTTCTAAATAGTGCACCATGAGCACGCCAATCTCACTTCTTTAATCCGACTGTTCACGATATCTCAGGTGACTCATCTCATTGCTTTGTCCGTTCGGCCTTCCTCCCCGCATTGAAGTCCCTTACTTATGCATAATGTCATTACCTCCAGTTCTAGTCTAGATGTCTCAAGTAACCCTGGTATTGGTACAAGCGGTTGAAGATTCTCAGTCTGTTCATCAAATTGGTGCACTTAACTTTATCACGTTCCCTGGCCAGGGTTGAGTACCTATCCTTTAGCTGCGTTTCAGACACGTAATGGTAGAGAGCACATTATTCTCTCTTCAGCCAAGTATTCAGCGATCAACCTTGTCCAGGGTCACTATCCGACAAGAGCTTCAGTATATATCAGCCAAATAAAGAGAAGATGTTGACAAAGGCCGAACTTTGATCAAATCAGGCCTGAGTAACCCTCATTAAAGAGGTTCGGGACTCACACAGGCCACTTCGTTCCTTCCGCTTAGATCAGCAAGGAAAGGCGAGGCAGCAATTAGTCCCCATCCAGGAGGTATTTGGCCAGCAGATAGGCAATCCTTTTTAAAATCCCTTGTTTCTTTTCCATCAAATAAAAGACCTTACTGTTTTCATGGGACTCAACAAGAGGGTGAGTGGAGCAAAACTATCGTGCTTTGGTTTATTCACTTTTTGCAGATAACTGACTTCTCTCACCACTCACTAGCATGCTCATACTCGTCCGCGCCCAGAGGCTGCGTGACGAGCCTCAACCAACAGTGGGTAATAGATATCAAGGTCAGCAGTTAACACGTGCAAGAAGGCTTTGCTTCAGTTCGTCTCAAGATCAATAGAAAGAAAACACTAATTATACTCAAGGTTTATCTGTAGCTATCATACTCATAAAAGTCATTTTTCCAGCAGATTGGGAGCAATGCCTGAATTAATTTGTTTCTTCATTTATACAAATTACTGGAGTCACTTTGCGAATAAAAGAGGACTCCGACCACTCATGAGGTACATAACTAAGACCTGGCTGGATATCAGCCCCCTGATAACCCGTCTACGTTTTATCACTAAACTCCACGCTTAATACTCGGAAAACACGACATCTGTCTTTTTGTCCCTAAAGAAAAAAAGAACCGAAGACGACAAGCCGCAAGCACTACCAGTTCTTTGCAGTAAGTCTCACTTGTACACGGTAAAGTGACAAGCAGCGGGATACGGGTGCGATACGGCTCTCGCCAACAGTCTTCCCCAAAATAAAGGGGTATCATGCCAGTAAAGTCGCGCTTGCAAAATGAAACCCGTTATGTATCAGAGGGTGATAGAGCCAAGACGATTAACTCTCACTATACATAATCTCTCAAAGAAGTTCCAACCAATCAGGTGCTCGATACTGCACTACGCCATTCAGACCTCAACCAACAAGTCTACACCTAACCCGAGTTCAGAGTTCATTCTTTTATGAACTTCTTTTTGTACCACCAGTGTTTTTTGGGCTGGCGAGGGTCATTGAGGCTTTACACTACCCACTGCTATCGATCAAGCCTTTCCATTTCCCTGTTATGTTTTGATCACCCCAAGGCTCACACACGATCAGTTGACGATCACCTTGAAGTCTCTCTAGTCGGATCTTGAAATCCCTTAGGAGCCGGTCGTCAGCAGAAGAAAACACCCCATCCCTTACCCTCTGTATACTCACGTCTCCCTTTATTACCTCCCTTCCGTGGCGCTCTGGATGAAAATCGGTACACTGGAATTGGCGTCAACCTTGGAGTTCAACCGTGCCTCGCATGTACCATACCTCTATTCGCCACCCTGCCCCTTTTACTCCCTCTCTCATTCGCCCGTGAGCCTCGGCTAAGTGTCTACTGCAACCATCTCTACATCCACAGTAGAGGGTAGTTAAACACATGGAGAGCAGTGAGTGTAAACTCTCTTGTCACGCACCCTTGTTGTCGCCTACTGCAGACTCTCTCTTCTGGAGGACCCGTGCGTGAAAACTCTCTCTCTCTCTCGCGTCGGTCCTCTAGATGATCGCCACATGTAGATCGCGCATATCAGTCACCGCTTTACGCTTTGTGCCGCTTTCCACGAGCCCTCTTTTGTTTCGCACTCCCCTGCCAAATGCCATAAGCTCGCGCGACACGCGCGTCGTTGCTCCCCGCTTGACATCAAGGTACAAGGGATAGAAGTCGTTGTCGGGAAAAAAAAAAAAAAAAAAAAAAAAAAGAATAAAACGTCAAGTTTAAACTTGTCTCTGTATGGGGAAATCCGGTGACCTCAGGTCACTGTGATGCTATGGTCTCCTTTCCAATTTTGAATAGCCACCATTATCATTATTATTATTCTTCTTGTTATTGATATTATTATTATTATTATTATTGTTATTACTTAATTTATGTATTTTCAGTTTGCCGCCTGTAGATCTATCATTTCGCAGGGAAAGCCGCTGATTTGGATTTTCGGATTGCAACTGCGGTTTTATGGTCTGGGGCTTTACCTACCGCTTTTTATGTCGCTTGTACCAGAACTATTCGTCCGAACCTCGCGGTGGGACCCCGATGGCCAGGATAAGAGGCAGATACAATGAGGAGTAAAAGGAGGAAAAATAGTAACAGAAAGAAAAGGAACAGAGAAGGTTGAAAGTCGGGTGCTAGGCTTGTGCGTGAATGTGGGTCGTTGTTCAGGCAAGGGTGTTGCGCGGAGAAATTATGGGACGCCACCCTTTCCTTTTCGGCGATTAATATTATTATTCTTATTATTATTGTTATTATTACTTCACCAGTTTTCAGGCGCGGCCTTCTTTTTCTCAGTTTCTGTCATATCATGGGGAGGCCAACGGTTCGGATTTTGATCTGTAGTCCTAGTTGGCCAGCCCCACTTATTTAGTCTGAAAGTGAGCGCCGATTGACTGCCGCGCGGTTAGGCCCCAAAAGAGGGGCGACCCGCGGCCCCATCGGTAGGAGGTTCGTCACCCCCTATAAGAGGTCATGACCCCCCTCCTTACCATCCGACATGGGTACCAATGGTGGTAAGCCAGACTGTGGGTTTTAGAGGAGGGCAAGCGCCCACAAGTAACCCATTATGGGACCACTGTGTCTAGCCTGCGGAGATGAGTTTGACCGTTGGTCTCTCGTATTTCTTTTTTTGCGGAGTTGTTTTAGGAGTTATAGAAACTAGAGTGTTGAAGTTTGAGAAGTGTTCGGGGCTCTCGTTCAGAACACAGGGTGACGACCTCTAAAAGAGAGAAGAGTTTAGTTGTACTCATGCTAGTCGCAGAGTATTTCAACTCCACTAGCGTTGTGGGCCTGAGACAAGGGAAAGAGCGGAGCTCCGGGGCCTGTAAGGGGCTGTCTCTGTGCGAGTGCCTGGAGACTAAGTTCTTGGCTTTTTCGAGTGACTATGGCATTGCATGGGTACATGCCCGGGTACAGGTACCACCATGCCCGTTGGAAGCCCGTGTCCGGGAAAGGGCCCCAGGATTACTGTCATACTCAATTACGACGGTGGAGATGAACTGTTACTGAAGATCAACGTGGAGGGACCAAGAGAGGGGGAGATGCAGACCAACCCGAAGCTGCAAGACGCGATTTCGGAGGCGAGAGACCGAGCGGAGAGACGTTGTAGACGGGACGGAGTGACGACAAGGCTACGGATAATGGTGGCTTACCACGAGACTGAGACCTCGATGGACACAACGGACCTGGAACAGGTCGACCAGGATAGAGACCCGGGAGGGGAAAGTGAGATGAGTGACGCAGACCGGGAGACGAATCTCAGATCCTGGAATACACCAGGTGAGATCCAGAGGCATCACCGAGCCGTGAAGCCGGTGGAGCGCGGATCCGAGGCCAGCTCTCGGCAATTGGCGCCCAGAGGCCGTGGGACGGAGGAGAGGCAGAACAGGGGGAAAGGGCGTGAGTGAGGGAGGAGCGTCAAAGGTCAACGAGAGGAGAAGCAGCGCGAGTGACCAGCACACGTTTTCGGTGGATATGGCCGACATCAACCACTATCTCCCATCGCTCAAAGGCGTCTACTGTCTGCTGAGCCTCGACGAGTTTGAGTGTTATGCCAGAGCGACCTATTTTCGGAATGCTTTCTCTCTTGTTCGGTGCAAGTGCATGAGGGAAGTGAGTGATCGGGACGCGAGCGGTACAAGGCCGTTAGTGCTCTGCTGTACAACAGGGCGCCGAGCCTGCGTGGACCAACGGAAGCCCTGTGGCGCACCCCTTTTGCTGAGGGCTATGCCGCCGGGACAGGTCCGCCCTGAGAATAGTCATGGTATCAAATCCATCTACAGCATGAACCGCGCCTGGAGAACAACAAGTCGAGACGTGGGACTGGTACTAAGCAAGGATCCGGTACACAAAAGAGGGTCTGGACACCGCGCCCTCTAACAGCGCGCGCCAACAAAAAAAACGGGCTTTCATCCCCTAATCAAAAACGTAGCATGGTCCAGGTCAGTCGACTAGACCAGCCGCTCACTCAACCAGAAAATCACACGCGCGCCTTAAAACTGCGTTGTCGGGCGCATCGGTCCGGCACCGCACGGGGGCAGTGCGGGACCCTCCCGGCCGCGTCACGCAGGAGTTGGGTTTTTAGAACCCTTCGTCGCAATATACATGGAGCTTCCGCAAGCCGCTCCGGCCGGGTGCGCCAGCCATACCTCTCGCGAGCCCCTACGATAGGATAGGGCCTACGCGAGACACGACTTACCTACACCTTACGGGAGCTGTCACCTCCCTTCGGTGGGCGTATCCTCGCTACCCTACCAGTCCTCTGTACGAAAGTTAATCAGCTGCAATCGCAGAGGTGGACGAGCCGAGGGCGATTCTCGTTCGCTGTAGCATAGGGGGTACGCACGGTAACACGCCTCTATCGGACCTGCACACGAACCGACATCTTGGGGGGGCTGAGGTCCCAAGCGCGATTCATCGCCGGTCGACTAGGACGCAACCCACACACCACGCGCTAGCCACTTTACGAACACACATACACACAAAACAACATATATACGAAACGACACAATACCAACAATGCGACAACGCTCCTAGCCCCTCGGTAGCCAACCCATAACTTTCCAATGTGGAAATCAGATAAGCGTCGCGTGCTGAACTTAGTATAAAACCGCGCGGACGCAGGACTTACTCATATCGACTTGCAATGCAGGCGCACACAAGCAGTCGCAACGATGGCATACTATGTAGTGCCCATAATCAAGCGGTCCCTCGTGGATCCGAGTACCGCTTATGACACTCAAGTGTCAGACTTGAAGTGTCGTGAGGGCCTAACCCTTCATGACATTGCACGGCTGAAGGAATAGTCGTGTAGCCGCCGAGGTACCTCAGGCTCTCGACCTGAGTGTCACGGTAGGCAAATCAAATAGGCTTCGCGCGAGGGAAAACCCCTCCCCTGCAGAGCCTAGGACTTGGGATGTCCTGGACAAGGACCTCGAATCCCGGCCCAGGACCAAATGTCCGACTAAGAAAATCATCAAAAAGCAAGAGACAAGAATAAAAAGAGAGACCTCCCCTAAACTCCTCAGTCTCAGCTTCTAAGTAGGGCTCTAATGTGGGGCTCTTCAATCTATGCAAGCATTCATCCCAAGTATACCCATGTATACATATATAAGGGTGTGGTATGTGACGATCACTTTTCACGGTCTCACTGGGGTTTCTCACAATAATACGTATATGTGTGATCGTAGGTAACCAAATCCCGAATCTGCTTCACAGCACATACCTGCCATCGCATCAACGAACCAAATCAACAGCCCACACACTACACGAAGTCAACCCCAACCACCTTCGACACTCATACCCCTCGCTTTAGCCATGCAAGCCTCAAACCTCCTGTCCAACCAACCTTAATTAAATACTCAGCACCTTTGTTAAATGGCCATGCAATAAAAGTCTGGGTGAAACTTTAATAAAACAACGAAATCACTAGGGCTAAAGTCTTTTAGGTTGAGTGTAGAGGGAGGTTGAAATTGAGTCGTAGACCGACGAATCGACAACCGACCTGTTATCAGTGATAACAGTAAGTGATCCTTAAAGGATCAAGCTGAATCTAGCCCTGAACTTAGATCAAATGATCAAAAGAACCTGTAATATATGGCAGACCAATTCCTAAGCTAAGATCATAAGTGTATGGAGAATACAACTCCACAATACATCCTCATTCAAAACCTCCTTATAAGTTAAACCTAAGTCTACTTTTAAGTTAGTGCTTAAGCGAAAGGTAGACCAACTCCAAAAATCTCCCATATTCTGGGTGGATCGCTTGAATCTCCTATCAAAATATAATCTATCTCCTCTAAACTAAGAAAATTTTGGCATCGCTTCCCGTAGGAAAAATGTTTTTTCGTTAATTAATATAAGCCGAGATATGAAAGCAGAAATAATATCTAACTCTGGAAAGTCAAATTTTGTCCAACTCTCTGAATTAGTAGAAATTTGGGCAGTACTCCCTTTCGAAAGCGAGACTTCCCAGATTTATACTAAGTCAGATATGAAAGCAGAATTAATCTCTAACTCTGAAAAGTCAAATCCTGTCTAACTCTCTGAATTAGTAGAAATTTGGGCAGCACTCCCTTTAGAAAGGGAGACTTCCCTAATTTATACTAAGTCAGATACGAATTCGAATAACAAATTGAGCTTAACTTTTAGACTGAATTTAACTAATTTCTTAATTTTGCAGAAAATTCGGCAGCACTCCCCCTAGAAAAGTGCTCTCCCAAAATTTATACAAAGCGAGGTCCAGAATTTGAGAATAACTTTGACTTCTCAAAGTCCAATTTTTTTTCTAACTCCCTGAATAAGTAAAAATTTGGACAGCACTCTCTCTAGAAAATGAGACTTTCCATATTTATACTAATCCATATATGGAAAAGACGAGCTGAGCTCTGACAAGTCAAAAGTTGACTTACTACTTGGATTTGTAGAAATTTCGGTAGCGCTTTCCGTAGGAAAAGTAGCTTGCCAAGATTTATACAAAGCCAAGTATAAGAAAAAATCTCAGAAAATGTAGGATTTGACCTAAGTAAAAAAAATGTTATTTACAGAAAATGCAGGAATTAACACTAACTTCTATGACTCTAGCACGTGGCGAGCAACTAGAGAAACTACCTATAGCAATAAAACCCAAACAAAACTAGTCATCCCATCCAGTCACATGCAAACCAAACCACAAATGTAAGTACTCTCACCACCCCAAGTTTATTCCATATAGATAGTTCATGAATCTTCAAGTTTTTGAATCCTTATACCCATCTTATATAAGACATAGAGCTGGACCATTCGCCATGGAAACAATGCCCAACTTGTCTTCATGATATACACGAACAGGTGGCACAACTACTTTTTTCTTCTTTTGGGCAGATGACTAAGCCATTCGCCATGGAAACAATGCCTAGTCGCCCTGAGCTGTTTAATATCCAAAGATTTTACTATTTCTCTGACTTTGATAAAAATAAAAGACAAATATGGGTAGGGGACTGAACCATTCACAATAGAAACGATGTTCAACTTGCCCCAAACTATTTCCATTTATATTCTGCATTTTCTCTTCTCTCTTCTTAATGATATGGCTTAACGCTGGACCATTCACAGTAGAAACAATGCCCAGCTGTCAGTTCACATTAAAATATACATAAAGTACTTTCCTTTATACTTAGTTTAATTTATGTGCGTGGTTTTCAGGCTAAACCATTCACCATGGAAACAATGCTTAGCCTTAGACAAAAAATCCTCCCTCATAATAAACAAGAATTTAAACCCCTTCAATCAGACAACCCCCAGAGTTAACTAGAGCAACCAGGCCATTCACCGTGGAAACAATGCCTGGTCCCCCAGAAAACAACTAAATAAACATAGCAACCATGTCATTCACCATGGAAACAATGCCTGGTCCTTCAGAAAATAGTCAAATAAACACAGCCCTGAGCCATTCACCATGGAAACAATGCTCAGGCTTTGGTTGACCCTTCCAAACGCATGCAAAACTACCTTCCTCCCACCTTCCCCCCAGTTTATCCCTTTGTTTGCTTTCAGTCAGAATAAAGAAGGAACTTGAACTTCACTCTCACACATTCTTTCCYTTTAGTCTSATTATATCTTGAAGAGAAAGCAAAAACCATASGGACAAACTTATGCATAYATCAATCATAYTGCAGGRAGATAGGCAAACATGGGTAGTAGTGGATTACACAGATARCGATGATTTAMCTGAAGGTTCCCTGCCTCCAGAACCTCGCCTMGGTTCYGGCAKAGCTCCYGCAATCGGTGGGTGAACTCCCCACAGAGTCTTGACGCGGTCCTACGGGTTGCAATCCCGCCTGCCGCCTTCCTCTCAGAACCAGGACTAGACTGAGAGTTAGAATGAATAGAAATAGAAGGTAGAGACTCTCATATCCAAGAATGGTGCTCTCCGTCTCGCAAGAGAGGGCCTTGTAATCTTGGAGCGCCTGAGGGCCCCGTAATGGCAGCCAGTATAACAGTTGGGTCAAACTGGAGTCAACTGCCGAACTCAACCCCCTAACGACTTCGCAAATCGCAGCACCAACCCCCTACCTGTCCAGCCTGACCACCTCTCCAAGTCTGATCGCACCACATAGAGGCCGGTAGCGGTTGGTAATAGCCGGCGATAGTGTGTCGCAACATGCGGCGATCATTAGCAAGTGGTATTAACGGTTTTGTGCGTAGTTCGCAGCTGCGTTCAGTGCACAACCGCCAGCAACCTGTGACAGCTCACACACAGCCAACCACAGCAATAGCTGGTTGTGCCCAGCCAATCAATCCCATTCGCAGCTCGTGCGGCTGGCAACAATTAGCAGCAAGAACGCAACACCATCCACAGGCACAGCAACAGTCCACCACACTACGCAACAATAGCCATGGCACACAGTCAACGGTATCAGTCCTGCCACGGCACACACAATAACGCCAGTCCGTGTGCGCAGTCAGTTCGCACCAGCGCTGCCATAGTCGGCCCAGTTGCTACGCCC